ATGTTATGTCTAATAGGATTTTATAGCAAACAGTAATGCTGCATCGTCCAATACATCAAAAGAGAAAGAATTCTCTGACACACTAAACCAAGAAAGCATTAAGCAGCGTCTTCTCTTCTCCTGTTTTCCCAGGGACCATTTACGTTAAAGTCAAATGGCAGGCAGCACAGATCAAGAATTTGGAGCATATCATAACTTATACATTTGAATTTTAGATTTGACGAAATGTTTTGTTTTTATCCCTCTTTCATATAATTTAAAATCTTCAAAATATTTGAGAATGTCCAGAAGTCACAGAACTGATATATTCTGCATCGTTATTGTCAAAAAGAAATGATTTCTAAAGTCATTTAGGCATTAAACATTCACATCAGTTTTCTATGGATGTACCTTCTATGTCACTTAAAACTACTTTAATAATTATGGGTACTAACACTTGCATTCCCAAGATCATCTGTCTGTAGTTTTTTCAAAAGAAGCTTTAATGTCCCGGAAATTTTTTTAAATTAGAATTTACCAATAACAATAACACACTTCTATCTCTGTCTAGTTCAAATTCAATTCATGAAGGAAGGTAATTTAGAGCCCTGTTCAGTCTCCATCCTTGAGCTTGCAATGACCTTGAATTAATGGTGGATCATTGCTTAATGGTATCCAAGTATGAGATTTTATATATTCTATCCTTAAGGATGTTTGTTTAAAAGAAAGAAAACATAACTGTATCTCTCCCAAATTGATCTCAATGTATGTAAACTAGCTCTTTGAATTCTTCAACATCTTCAATAATCACTGTGGAATATAAGAGGTTGTAATCATTTCTGAGGATTGTTTATTAATAAAGATTTGCAAACCTGTAACACCAATATTCTAAGGAGCTCACTTCCTAACATACTCCTGAGTCAGCAACCTATTGCCTAAGGGCCAAGTCAGGCCTGCCGACTATTTTTGTAAATAAATGTCCCCTGGAACCCAGTCACACCCACCTGGTAAGGTACTGTCCACGACTGCCTTTTTGCTACAGCAGCAGAATTGAGTGGCTGTAACTATATGGCCCAAACTATAAATCATTCTAAAACTCTGAAATCATTTTGTAAAGGCTGTTGGCTCACTTTCAGTGCTGTGTTAATTTGTATTCAGCAGCAACAAAGTTTAACAGACTTGCTAAATAATCCCATTGGACTAGAGAGATTTGGGGAGGGGGTTGAAGGGAAAGGGAAACAGACATTTTAACATTCCTACCACAGCAGCTGAAGTCACAGCTGACACCTTCACTGGTTAATTTGGAAAAAGGACACAGAGCTTGAAAGTTTACCTTCATCTACAAATGTGGGAGAGGGTCAGCCTAGATAATCTCTAAGCTTGTCAAGCTTCATGGTTGCTTCAAATGACTTAAGCCATAAGCAAACTCAGAACCATGTGAGTACACGACTGAATAATAACTGTTTGACGGCACCTGCCTAAAGTGAGGGCAGAGAAGTAGCACGTTTTAGAAACACAGAAGCCAAAATGGTAAAATGAGGGTATGTGGAGGTTTCTTGTACTGTTCTTGAAACTTTTCTGTAAATTTGAAATGATAACAAAATAAAAAGGTAGAAAAATAGTTAAAACAACTTTGAATGTTAGCACTTAATAGGGAAAACTCCAGTTACTTTCTTCAACAAGCAAAGTTACCAAGGTAACTGCCATTAATGGGTTTGTAAAACATATAAACCATGTCTAGTATGTCCACTGAACCAAGCATGGCTGAGACTGCAGACTACCCTTATTCCAATTCAGCATCTTGAAGTACCACCTTACAAATTTTCCTCTTTGAATTTATCCAATTCAAATTAACTAAAGGGATCAAAAGGCAGATAAAACACAGAAGAAGCAGGGGTGGAGAGAACAGGAGACAGAGGGAAGGATGAAGGAAGAAATATGAATAAAAACTCCTAGTTAATCAACAAACTATATAAATATGTTCTGACTGTTCACAAGTATTAGCAGACCTCTTTTATCTTTTCTTTGGTAGACTGGAAGGAAACTTAACCAAAACATTTGACTCTCACACAACATATGTATATCCCATATATTTTTATATACACATATTCCAAGAAGAGATATGACTTTATAATTTTATAAAATACAACCACTAAGCAAACATCATGCTAACTGAAAAAGTGACTAGAGAGCCACACACATTCACATTGTTAAATATAGAAACTAACTGTAATGAGAATCATTATCTCCAGTTTCCAAGGATACCAGGATAAGCACTATTCCTAAATTGCAGTTCATTCAGCAAAGGGCACAAAGTAATTTATATTCAGGGTCATCCTCAGCTGACAGCAGATGTAAAAGGAGGACTAGGGCAATCACTCTGTTTATTCTATTCTATTCTATTCTGTTTCCTATTTCAGTTTCCAGTTACCACCACCCTCTAGCCCCAACCCTGGCCAATGTTTTAAAAGTGAAATTTGGAAAATCTGATTGTAAATAGCAACTTCCAACAGAAAAAGAATGCACAAAGGGCAGGGCAGTCTGAGATGTGATTAATGCTGGTGGTGGGGGGGTAGGGGTGGAGGCAGGGAAGGTTGGCATTCCCATTTGCTTTGTTTATGACAAGGAGAGGAGGCTGGTTTTGTGTGTCTGTCATACTAGTCACCATCTTTCCCAGGGCTTCCAAAGGAACTGTACAGTTAATTTCAACTTCCTACTCAACCAAGGCTATCTATCCACGCTATTAGAGCTTACCACTCCTAAACTGCCATACTTTCCAGAATGAAATTTATTTTCAATTTGTTCTGTCTTCTAGGCTCTACAATCTAGACTTTCATATGATTACTATTTGTTTCTATAGTAATAAAAATAGAAAAACTACTTTCTGACAACCTCAGAGATTTTTGCCTCTGCATCATCTATTTGTTTATTCAGGACCATTTATCGATTGCTTTCAACATGACAGGCATCGTACCAGGCCAGATAGGCAGTGACAGGAGGTGATATAAGACTTCATTTTTGATCGCCAGGTAAATAATAACAGGCCATGTCACTTTAAAAAGAGTCAAATCTTCACTTACTAAAATGGTAATATAAATTTCATGCATACTTTCAATTTATCTTAAATTTCCAGAATGTATGTATAAAAATATGATGCCAATATAATTGTGATTTTCTACTTATTCTTCCCCTATGACCCATCTATCCAATACAGTAAGACCTCCCGTGTCGCACTTTAGCCAGGACAGAGGTAGCTGCAAGTAAAGAAAAGCTCTGCCTGCCTTCATATGCTTCCTCCTGTGCTATCCTGATGGACATGAGACAGTGTATCAGGCCAAGCTTCTTAGCTTAATGTGATCACATAGGAAAATAAGCTCCTTCCCTGACTTCTCTCTTTTGTACCAGTTACAATAATTGAAACTGTGCACTGCTTTTAAGAGGGCGAACCAATGCAATGCAATGAAGGTTTCTAGTAGTTATGTAACCTATATAATATATCTCAATGAGACAAGCTGTTTTGATAGTAACAATTAATACAAAAATTAAACGATGTTCCTGAAAACCTTCTTTCTATACATTTTGGATGACATGAATATAACATATTTAGATTTTATGTCTTGACGATTTTAGTGCAACCCAATCCTTTTCTAAAACACATTCACTTCTTTTGTCCTGAAATCATTTCTAAATTCAATATATAATAGTATCACACTTAAAAACTATATGTTAGTCTCAATTCTCTTGAAAGTTATGTCAGTAATGATTTTGAGGTATTATTGTGATACCTGTTTCTTACAAGGAGCAACATTTGGCAGTAAGATGGCTCCAGACAAGATTCTATGTCTGAGTCTTGAAGTTTTGAAATGCTTTGGTTGATAAGGTTCAACTAAACAGGCCACTGTTTGACCTTTCTCCTTGTCCCACCCAAAATTAGTGCTGGGTAAGGCAAAAACATAGACACTTTCTTAGGCGAAACACCAAACACAAAAAGCATTCAGAAGTCACCGGCAGAAAGGTCATCTTCTGTTTTAACACCTTTTCCGATAGCACAGATAAGCTTTCACAAACCTCTGAAGGTAGAAGCCTGCTTACATTAAGGAACATAATTGTATTCCCTAATTGTGCGTACTGAACTTTTTCTTTTTTTCTTTTTTTTCAATCTCCAGCATTGACAGTATCCAACCCACCAATGCGGGAGCCTAAAACTTGGACTTGAGCCACTTGGCTTTCTGGAGCCAAGTCTAAATTACAGTCCTGCGTATTGCATATGTCTTCGAAAATACTTTCTAATAGCTCACCCACCTTCACCTCCTTATAACCAGAAAGTGTGCAACTGGCAATCCCCAAGTCATAAAGGCAGCAAAAACGCCCCAGACAGAGCACTGTCGGAAATTTTCAGAAAGTGGATTAAAGACAACGAGAAAAGGATAGCTCTGACACCGAAGGCCGAGGCCACCATACCCCGCGCGGGTCTGGCGCAGCTGGAATCCTGGGCCCAGCTTGGAGCCCTCCAGCCTCCAGCGCAGCCTCCCCGGGCCTCACTTCTCCGCCGAGGCTGCAGGGAGCGGAAACCGTAGTTCTCCCGGGTGCGGTCCTGCCGAGGTAGGGGGTGTGGCTGGGGTGGCGGTGGATAGCGGAAGGCGCAGGGGGTGGCTCGGCTGCGTACTCGATGGAGTAGAGGTGACACAGTCATCGGAGTTGTAAGGGGGAGGCAAGGGTAGTGTGAGTGGCGGGGAAGCTGCCCGGAGGTTGTTTTCGGCCGCCGTGGCAGGGGACGCGAAGCTGGCGGGCGGCACGGGGGGCGCAAGGTGTCTCGCGGGTGGGGAGAGTGGAAGCGCCGCTGGGTGCGGCGGGCTCTCGGCGTCCCGGGACTGTCGAGGGGGGCAGCGTGGGGGGCGGGGGGCGAGCGGGGAGGCTGCTGACAGGTCCATGCCCTCCCTCCAGGGGCCGGCGGGGTGGGCCCCGAGTGCGGGCGGCCGCGCGGGCGGCGGGGGTCGGCGGCGGGCGCGGCGCGCACTCACCTATGCACAGCTGGATGGCGTAGGCGTAGTAGGACCAGCCAAGCAGAAGGCTGATGAACACCACCGGGATCCAGTACAGCACCCGCCGGCACCGCCGCCTGACGCTGCCCGGGCCCGAGGGCGCCATCTTCCAGCCGCATCCACCTGCCCAGCTCCTCCGTCGCCGCCGCCCGCGGGCCTGGCTCCGGGGCGGGACAGACCCGGGGGCGGCGGCCGGTTGCGCTGCGGCCACTGCCGCCGCCGTGCCGCTAACTCCCCATCCCGCAGCCCCAAGCCAGCGCCGCGGACTCCCCGCTCCTCAGCCCAGTGGAGGCGGTGGCAGCGATAGGAGGGCGCGGAGCAGGAGGAAGAGGGGGAGGAGGGGGAGGATCGAGAGGAGGAGGCGGGAGCCTCCGCCCCGCCCCCGCCCGCCCCCGCCCCTCCCCGCCCCTCCCCGCCCCTCCGGCCGCCCGCCGCCTCCACCCGCGCGGCCCGCGGCGCCCTCGGGCGGCTCTGTGGACACTCCGGGCGCTCTCCCCTGCACCCCCGGCGCCGCTCCTGACCCCGCGCCCCCTCGCCACTGGGCACCTCAGGGGCGCCCGAGGTGGGAGTGAAGCTGCCCACCTTGGCCCTTCCGCCTCCCGTGTGGAACCGGGATTCGGGGGGCGGAGGCGGGCGCCGCGGCTCGGGTCGGTGGCGCTCGCTCCGGGTGTCTGGCGGGGGCCGAGGGCGCTCTACCCCACCGAGCCGCCGCTGTTGCCCGCAACTCGGTGCGGTCCCGGAGCTGCAGCGGCCGCGCTTGGCTCGGAGACGCACGCGGGGGAGGGGAGCGTGACAGAGCCGCCCCGGGAAGCTGGCCGGGGGCGCGCGGGACCCTTCACCTGCCGAGGCACGTAGGGAGCGGGTCGCCCACCCCGATGGATGCGCCGCTACAAAGTGTTCAGGCGCTGAGACAGTGTCCCGGCCTCCACCTTGGAAAATTCTCACTTCAACTTGTGGGTCCTGCTTAACAGGCAGAGGGCAACAAGGGCGGGGCCGATTTCCCAGACCTGCTACGTTGTGTTTGGGCCACGAAGCCTACTTTGCTACACGTTTTTTTTTTTTTTTGGGGGGGGGGGGGCGGGGAGCGGGAATGAACCGCTCAGAAGGGTTGTGAGGCTGTCTTCTGGCGTGGAAGGGGACTGTGGAAGAATGAAGAAGCTCTGTGGTTGTGAATCCAGAGATCTCCGGAGTTAGAATCACAAATGACCTGCTTCCAGAATTTGAACTCTTCTGTCACTCAGTGATTATACATCACCGTTCCCACCGCCCCCTGACCGGAGTCCGGGGCTTCTCCCGTGTGCTTTTCCCAGCCCATTCTTCACCACAAGGTGTTCTTTTGTGGCGGCAATTCTAAATTTAGCGTGTAGCTGGTTCTAAAGTGGTTGCTGAAAATCCTGGGAGGGATTCTAAAGGTAGTTAGACCGAAGCCCTGGCTTTATGATCGAAAAAACGGAAAAAATACAAATGCTTTTGGGATTGTTTCCCTTTTTCCCTTCATTTGATTATGAACGCACCTGCTTCCAAACGGAAACACCTCAATAAATGTACTGTATCTGAATTATATGCATAATTACCATGTATAGTGTGCACAACTTCACTTAACATTAATGAATGTATGTAGTCACACCACACAGCAACCATATTGAATGAAAAAAAAGTACTGAGAGGCATAAATTCTGTCAAGGAAATCTAAACTCTCATGTCTTTGAGATTATCTTTCTGATGACTAGATTAAAAGCAAGCTAATCTCCCCCGAAGTAGCTGCTGTATGACACACCCGCATCAAAACTCTTTGCACTTCTATTAAAAAATGCATAGAAAATGCCAGTCAAACGTCTGTGGGATTTTAAATAATTGAAATGAGAATATTTCTGTCCCAGTGAATCATTTTATTTTGGTGCAGAACTTTGTACTCTTTATTTGATATCCTGTAGGGTAGATTAGTATAAAAACACAACTTCCCTGGAATCCTCAACTTTTCCAAGAATATCAACCTTATGCTCCCAACCAGAAGACTCTAAAAACTAGAAATAAAAGTCCCTGCCGGGACTGAAATACTCCCACAAAGACTAGCAAATCTGTGATGGAAAGTCACTGACGACTACTAAAGTACGAAAACTAAAGCCGCACTTCCCATTCTGGAGCCAGTGGAATAAAGTGCAAAGTGTGCCTGTGTAGGGAGTAGATGCTGCCCCTCTTCTGACAGTCTTACCAAGGTCTTTGGTCTGAAATGGAATAGCATCATACAGTTTGCCACATCTTTGATCATTTTGGAAGAATATGCAGGTGTAACTTCTTCGAAGGAGGCTACATTGTTATTTCTCTAAAATGTTAAATGTTCACATTTATAATAAATATTTGTGGAATAATTGCAACCTATTTTTAGCCATTTTAAGAGTACTACCATGATTGAGTTCTTCAAGGGTATCACTCTTATCTTGAAAAAAAAAGTCTAACTCAGGAATAATCATCTCCAAAGCTGCAAAATGACAAGACTTATCTTTGCATAGGCTCTAATTAGGCAGGCATAAGCAAGCATGCACAAATGTAAGCTCTTTGGTGAGTAGCCAATCTCCAGATATTAGGCTCTGATGAGAGTGGAGGTATAACTTTAATTTTAGAATAGAAAGCCTTTGATTTTTTTTCTTTGCCTTATTTAAGGCTGTGCATCAACAGGAAAACAATTTTGAAGGTCATAGACAATTAAGAAGAAACTTCACTAGAGGCAGTCTTTTTTTTTTTTTTTTTTTTTTTTTAGAGAGAGAGGAGAGAGAGCATGTGCATAAGGAGGGGAGATAAGGGAGGCATGGGGGAGAAGGACAGGGAGAGAGAATCCCAAGCAGGCTTCATGCCCCAGCTCTGAGCCCAAAGTGGGCTCAGGACCCTGAGATCATGACCTGAGCCCAAACCAAGAGTCGGAGCCTTAACCAACTGAGCCACCCAGGTGCCCCAAGACTTACTCTTTAGCTAGGAGTACAGCGGGTTCTCACAAATTTTAGGTACTCGATAATTACATCAAATTGTGCATTTCATGTAATAATTTTGATAAAACTGCTATGGCCGTTTATGAAAAAAAGAGTCGCCCGCAGCTAAAGAGGGAGAGGGCAACCCTAACGGAAAGGGGATGGCCAGGCAGGCGGGAGGCCAAAGGGGGCATACAAGAAGAGGAGAAAGGCCCCCTTACCTGGCTTACGCAGACCCTAGGAACAGTAATTCTGTCATTACCAGGCCTCTGCCTGGAAGCTCCGCCCACTCAGTAGCTTCTCAAAGTCCTTCACCTCCAAACTTTCAAAACCCCTGTTATCAGACCCTCTTCCCACGAAGGAAACTTGATTTTTCTCTTCTCTCTCCAGTCAAGATTTGAACCACTCCCCCAGATTCTTTAGTCCCCAAATCTCAAATCTATTCTGCTATCGTGGTTAATACTCCAAATCTTCTTCCTTCTTCCAGATCCAAATGAAAATTTTTACTTACTTCCGTTCATAGTGTGAGTCAGGGATAACATGGCAACCAAGCCTGGGGAGCCATGGACCCAGCCTGTCTCTAGGACGTCCATTAATTCTGCCTCTACGGTCATCTTTTCAGCCAAACCGCCTACGAGAACTTTTATTAGGTCACTTGCTTGATAGTTTCTCTTTCCTTTTAAAAGTGTTCTTAGAGGGAACCATTGCATCTTTGAAGTGTAAGGTCAATTTTATTACTCTCAGCTATGTGAGAAATTGATTATATTGATTTTGCTATTAGGGTATAGTACGTGACAAATACACAAGGACCAAAAGGAATGAAGTTGAGATCTGGATGTATTCTTTGACTTACGATTCACCTATCCTTCCTAGAGTGGTCTGCAAAAATACTGATAATCCTCTTTTCATGTTTTCTTAAACTTACCACTTTTTGAAAAAAAAATCCTTTTTATAAATCAGCAATCCATGACATCAATGACTCTAGTGTTAATTTGCACTTTTATAATAGTGGCCAAAATATTCTCTGTGGGAGAATAGTGGCATGCCCAAACCACATGTTGTTTCTGGACACACATAAAATAAAAGTCTTAGAATGGGAAACTAGTTTAGGGAATGTGGTTTCAGGTGATGCTAAGATACACTTGGGATCCCAGAGATCTATAGTTTGCAATTAACATGGAATGTTATTAAATGTAATGGAAGATAATTCCAAAGGCTTAAGAAATGTATGGCTGATTGGGTCAACACATTGGCAAAATTGTAAAGTGGGAAAAACTGTCTACGGGGAAGCTGGCCTTTCAAGCCCTGTAGGATCTCCATGATGGCATTAACGTGTCTTGCCACTAGGTGGCAGGCGCACACCAAGCAGTGCGGCTCCAGACTTCATTCACAGAGATTTCAATAGCATCAACCATTAGCTTAACCAAGGCAATTATAAATTATGAATTTAACTTCATGAACAATTATATATAATTACAACTAATTATAATTATACAATTTATGTTATACTTCGGTGGCTAATGATTAATTAATAAAAACCATATTCAGAAAATTGAAAAAAATTAAAACCCTTTTTCTATATAGCAAAGCTAGTCAGTTTGATTCTACTTCCACTTTTTCACAGTTTGCACGAAGGTTAATTTTTTTAGAAATAAAATTGGAACTTTTCACTTAAATGAATGCTTTGGTCTACACCAACCCCCCCCTTCCTCCCTGGCCCCCAAATGGGAAGAAAGCAGTGTCTATGAACCCAAAAGGCAGGCAAATATTTCTACCCCATGTACTGGCAGTATGTTTAAGGAGTGACACAATGAAAAAGTTCAATGAGAAGTTACCTGAAGTGGCCATTGTAGAGTTGAAAGGTCAATGGAGAGCAGACCAAGGGCAACAGAATCCTGCAGCATGGTGTCCAGTGTCCAGTAATGGTGTCCTTCTCAGACTGTTCTTGATGGCAGATCTTGATCATGCATCAGATTCATCTGTGCTAGCTCTAACTTCATTCTTCAGGCTTCCTATTGATTCTGTGGGGTGGTCTATATACCTGCAAAAATATATTAGTGCATATAAGTCAACTAGCATTGACTTGTGTTTGCAACCAGGAATGTTGACTGGATCATAGTTTTAATTTCATTCTGCATCCCATGTCTTAAAGGGTCACTTTCAGCGCATGGAGGCTGAGGCGCTTTGAGAAATTAGGGATATAGGAATTGGGGACAGGGGAACCTACTTGGTGCCTTTCGGGTCATAATGTCTAGACCTGCACTGTCCAATAAGTAGCTGTGAGCCATTGGTAGCTATTCAAATTCAAATTAATTTAAATACAGTAAAATTTAAAAATCCAGTTTTCTTAGTTGCAGT